GTCCCTGGACAGCCGATGGCACATGGGCATGTGGTGCCGGGAAATTCCATACTGGCCGTGGCCCATGCGCTTGGCCGGCAATAGATCATCCAGGGCACCTGCACCTGCACCCGCGCCCACACCGACACCCACACACAGACATACGCACACAGGGCCAGGGGACGGGAGGGAGCCCGCAGGAAGGAAAGGGCTCAAGAAGGGGGGCAAATTCACGGCAAGTGAGACACTTGGCCCCCGGCTGGCGCCCCCTGCGTGGCTCCGTCACGCCCCTGCGGCCCCCGGTCCCGATGCCGGTCTGGGGGGCGATTGTTATTGTTGGTCGTCTTTCCGGGAAGCGTGATGCTTCTTCGTCCGGTAGAGTGTTCATTAGCCGGGCTTGCGCCGAGCGGGTGCGCCCGCTGGATCTGGCTGTTTGCCCCCAGGGTAATGCCACACATGCGGACCGATTGTCGAGATGCCGGGCTGAGAGCCAATCGCGATCGGCGAGCAGGCAGATTGCGTGTTTGGGCTGCCCACTGGTCCTGCCGAAGCCCCGAACGGAGGGAGGCAGCGAGACCGGTGAAGAGTCGAGCGCATGTGCGGCGCTGGCGAGGGCGAGCATCGAGACCGGGGGCGGGGGGGGGGGGGGGGAGATATTCAGTGTCCGGGGGCGCCGGAGCTCCCGGGTGTGCGTTAGGGCTCGTCCAGGCGCGATGGGCTCATTGCGGGCAGATTGGCAACGCAATTCGGACAAACGCAATGCTTGTCCGGCGTCGTGAGGCAACACTGGGACTAGCCCGGGATTTGGCCGGTGGTGGCCGGAGAAGCAAGGGCACCCCGTGTGGCGTGCGTCGGCCAAGGGCAGCCGGGCATACTTCGCCCCTCAGCGCCCGGCGGTCTCACACGAGGGCGGATGTGGCGGAAAAGGAGTAAGCGAGATGGCGCACCCTGCTGAGCGGCCCAGCCAGTTGTAGGTCTGATGCCAGCGAATGGGCTCCGCCCCCGGGACCAGGGGCTGGGGAAAGCGGAATGCATGCACCGGGGATGTCTGTCTGTCCGCCTGGCCTCGGCTGCCCCCCCCGGGGGGGGGGGGGGGGGGGGGGAGAGGGCGGGGCATGGGCCGCGAGGGGGATGGGTGGGACTGGCCGAGTCTGTCGGGCGGGGTCCGGTGGTCAGAGGGTGCGGGGAGAGGGCGGGGGGAGGGCGGGGGGAGGTGGGCTCCCATAGCTAGGAGGCCGTCATGCCTCCCGCTGCCAGAGGCGGCGCGCGCTCGGGCGGCATGGGCATAAGTGCCGGACATGGGCATGCTGCGCTCGCGGGTGAGTTCGGGAGCTTGGCTGTCGAAAAGGGGCAGGACGCCGGGCCGTGGACACATGTGAATGCGTGCTTGCGCATTCGGTTCTGCGCGAAGCTGCTCCTGTGTCCTGGCGTCGGATGATGTCTGCTCGGATGGGTTGATGTCTACTCGTGCGCGTGCGGGGGCCGGGAGAAGGTGGCGATGCGAGTCGCTGGTCGAGCGGGGGGGGGGGGGGGGGGGGACCTGGACGGGAGACGGGCACAAAGAAATTGGTGGCCGGGCTCGGGGAAATTGCGGTTTCTCCTACCTCCGGGGCCAATGAACCGGAGCGTCTGGACCCGCGCCGGCGAGGTATAGCAGGCAGGCAGGCAAATGAACCCCCCGGCGACGCGGCCCTTCCTTTCCTCCAGGCCTCCATGAGCGGGCGACATATTGCTGGGGGAGGAAAATTCGTGCCTGGAGATTGTTTCCCTGTTTCGGGCGTTTGTCAAGCGGATTTTCGTCCGGTGGCTCCATGACAAGGCTAGTTCCACCCTTCGCTCCTCGGCCGGTCTTGGCTGCCTTCCCGGTCTACCCTTCGCCCGGGCTGGTCCCTCCCGGCCGGTGTGCTCGATGGGCTGCCTGCCCGGCAAAGGGCTCGGCGCATCCTGGTGGCGACCTTCTCCGGGGCAAAAAAGGAAAAAAAAAACCCTCGCCCGCCCAGACCCGCGGGGGGCCGAGAGGGAACCATCTCTGGGTGTTGAGCTCCGCGAGCAGTGGCTCGTGGGCGGCCGACAAGCTGTCGCGAGTCTCGCGAGGCGCCACCACCGACTCTCCCCAGGCCAATGGGCCTTCGAGGTCCGGCCATGGGGGGATAAAACGCCGGACCCCTCGCTGGCTGGTGAGACCAGCGGCATGGCGGGAGCCATCCCCGGGGGTTCGCCCGAAACTGGCCCCCTCTGCCTCGGTCTCCCTCGGGGAAGATCCAGCGGGGCAGGCGGCCGGTCGGTCGAAAGACCAACGGTAGACGCCTGCGCTCGCCGCCTGCCTGCGCTCGCCTCCCCACGGCCGCGGCACTGAATAGAGGACAGGACCACTCGACAGGGGGCCCGTGCCCGGAAGCACCAAGCCGAGAAATGCCACCCCGAAGCGGGAGGTGACCCGGACGGGCTTTAACGGGTCGGGGTCACATAAAGACCATCGGCAGCATGGCCAGTGGCGGGGAATATCTTGACAAGCATGTCTGTCCGTTCCACATGCACCCCCCCCCCCCCCCCTTGCGAGGCGTGTGTGCTGTGTTTGAATATGTGCATATACGTGCGTATGATCGCGTGCGTGCGTGTGTGCCGAGGCGCTCGGCTCCCCGGGGTGTCTTCTTGTTTGGACGGTCGCCGATGGTGGGGGATTGTTTTTATTAGGAGGATAAACCAGCCACTCGGCCACGGGGCCGCTTCCCCGGGGAGAGGGCGAGTGTGTATGTATGTGTGTGGCGCCTGCCGGCCCTCCGGCGGCCTGGACGCACTTGCCGTTCGGTTGGGGGCATTGCCGAGACGGGGCACCCTGGGTAACTTGCTCGAGGGCGGAGAATGGCCCGGGCGGCGGAGGGAATAGATGAGCCACAGGTCCCTGGGGGTTTCACTGGGCCCCTGCCGGGGCGTGTTCCGGCGACTTCCTCGACGGAACTTAATCATTTCGCCCTTTCGGCCTCTCCCACCGGCCCGACGCCGAGACGCGTCGAGTCTTTGTCGGAGCCGTCAGAGAGGCCCGCCGGGAAGAGCCCCTGCCGAAGTGCGAGCGAGACCCCCCCCGGTGCTGGTCAAACATCGCTCTCTGGTGGAGCGCCTGCTCAACGCCTCACGTCTCGCGGTCCGGCAACATACACGTGCAGCTACTGACAGCGGGGGAGGGCGGGGGGGGGGGGGGGGGGATTTAAAATGCTTTCCTCGACACAGCACAGGCCCGCCGCGTGCTCGGGTGCAACCCCCATCGACCAAGGGATCGCGTCGGGCTGTTTTGTTGGCTGGCGTCGAAACCGCCGCGAGTCGGAAGGCCGGGACGCGGGGGTAGCCATCATGGCTGGGTGAGCTCTGCGTCGGGAAAGCTCTTCTGCCGCCTCCCGGCTGTCCGGCACGAATGCCGAACCAAACCGGCCGGACGCCGGGCAGGGCATTCGTGTGCACGGCTCACCCCTGTGCGCAGGTCCGCAGTGGATCTGGCATCGAGCCCGGGGGAGAAAACGCCCTCTCCCGTTGCCCTCCATCCGCGGCGGTCGCGTGCCCGGGGGGCGGGGGCGACCATGAGGGCCCCGAACGCGCCCCGCACCCTTTGGACCCGTGTCTCGGGCAGTGGAATTAACACGCTCGCGGGCCGGCCTCCTTGGCCAGTGGGTGCTGCCTGGAGAGTTCTGACCGGCAGGCCGGGTGATGGGGCAGACCGGGCGCAGGAACGAGGGAGGGGCCCGCCCAGGAAGGAAGAGCACACCATAAATATGTGGCCCCCCCCTGCCTGTCCCCCCGATCCGAGCGAGGCTGCCCAGATGTGGCTAGCCCACAACACCGCATGCCAACGCTCGGCATGGGTCGTCACGCGATGCCGGCCCGGCACCTTGGCGCGTAACCCGAGGTGGGTTAAGGAATGGAGGAAACTGGCGCGATTGCACTCCCCACAATGCGGTGTCGGCGGTGTTTTATTTCGATTGTGGCGTAGCACAAGTTCCGCCATTGGGGCGGTGCTCCTGCTCCAAGTGGGGAGGGCGCCCCCCAAAAAGGACCCCGCTACTCCCGGGTGGAATGCGTCGAATCGCTCGAATCAACGTGCAATGCCTGGGAGGAATGATCCATCTCCACAGGGGGTTGGTGTTCTGGGGGCGGCGCCGCGGTGGCTGCCAGCTCGGAGAGGCCCGAGGGTTCGCCCGAGGAGCTCGAGCTGGGCTCATGTGCCGATGCCTCGGGGGTGGGGGAGGTCTCCCCGGAAACCGGAGCGACAGCCGCCTCGAGAGCCCCGGCGGCGGCGGCCTTGGCGGCCCGGCGGCGCTGGCGAAGAGTCAAATAGACGACCACCGTGCCCAGCATCAAACAGAGGAGGATCGAGCATCCTACTGACACGCCGATGACCATGGCTAATGAGGTGAAGGATAGAGAGGGCGGGAGAGGGGGGAGGTGAGAAAAAGGGCAGCGGAGGGGAAAGAGAGAGCAGAGGAGGGGAAAGAGAGAGGGCAGTGAAGAGGGAGGAGAGAGGACAGTGAAGAGGGAGGAGAGAGGACAGTGAAGAGGGAAAGTGAAGAGGAAAGAGAGAGCAGAGGAGAGGGAGGAGAGAGCAGTGAAGAGAAAAGAGAGAGAGAGAAGCGAGGAAAACCGAGAGAGAGAGAGAGAGAGAGAGGGCAGCGGAGAGGAGAGGAAGAGGCAGGGGGAAAGCCACCAGACACGCACTCCTCCAGTAGAGCTCGCGCTCTTCGTTCCACTTGGTACATTGATCAGTCCGGCGCCCGGAGCACTGAAGACAGCCCTCGGCACAGGAGAGGCAGACGCCCGGCGCGCCCTCGGGGCTGGAGCCGAAGAAGCCCGCCGGGCAGCTCTCCACACAGCCGACCCCTTCGTGGAGGAAGGCATTGAGGATGCAGCGCTGGCAGTTGGTGCCGTCCGGGGGGTCGCAGCGATCGCACAGGCGGTCCTGGCAGGGGACACACGACCGGCCTTCGGTGTCTTCCACAAAGCCCACCGGCGGGCAGGACTGGACGCAGGAGCCGCCATGCAGGAGCAGGTCCGACAGGCAGGTGACGCAAATGGCTGTCGGGGAGCTGGTGTTGGGATTCCGAGCGCACGTGGAGCACAGGTGGGGGCAGGCCGCGCACACCGGCGAGCCCCGGTCATCCAGACTGGAGATGTAGAAGCCATCCCGACAGCGGGAATGGCACGACCCGTCGATCAGCTCAAAGGCCTCGTGGCAAACGAGGCACAGCTCGGCGGGCGGTCCGTCCGGGTCCTCCTCGAGGCCGCCGCCCTGGTAGTCCGGGTTCAGCCGGCACGTCCGGCAGGAGGGGTCGCAAGAAACACAGCGCCGGCCGTGCGGGGCGTCAAGGCGCGTGCCGTCCTCCGGACACGCCTCAACACAGGTCCCCAGCGAGGCATGAAGCAGGAGGGGCTCATGGCAGGCGGTGCACCGGTCGGCGAAGTCCTCGCACTCGAGGCAGGCATTGGTGTCGCAGGGGAGGCAGTCGGCCGCGTGGGAGGACCCGTCGCCGGGGCCCGGGGAGACCGGGTGGAAGGTGCCGGCCGCGCAGCGGGCCCGGCATTGGCCCTCCTGCAGGAGGAGCCCCGGAGCACAGCCGGTGCATTGGCGCCCGGAGGGGCCGTCACACGTGGCACATGTGCTGGCGCAGGGGGCACACGCGTCCCCTTGGGGGAAGTACCCCTCGAGGCAGGCGCCCGGCCGGTTGCCATCCGGGCAGGTGGCCCCGGGGGAGGGGGCACGGCCATCGGTGCAGAGGTCGCACCGGTCAACCTCCGGGCCGGAGCATTGTCGACATCCCGCGGCACAGGGCTCACACCGGCCGGACAGGGTGAAGTACCCCTCCGGACAGGGGCCCGCTTGACAGGGCCCCCCGGCGCCGGGGGGGTGAAGGAGCAGGCCGCCGGCACAGCGGAGGCAGGCATCCAGGTCGGCCGGCGGGCAGGCGGCACAGCCGGCGGCCCGGCAGGGCTGGCACTGGGCCCCCACCCGGGGGTCTTCGCTGTCGATGGCCACGGTCCCATCGAGGCAGCGTCGGCGACACATGCCGGCGGCCGGATCGAGGGACAGCCCCCCGATGCAGCGGGTGCATTGGGTCTCCTGTTGCCCGGTGCACTCGGCGCATGTGGGATGGCAGGCCAAGCACACCCCGGCCGGGCCGGGGGCCGTGCCCTCGGGGCACGCCTCGCGGCAGTCACCCTGCCAGAGGTAGGGCGCAGCAGGGGCAACGCCGGCGGCCACATCGCCACGACAGCGAAGGCATTGGCCAGGGAGCGGGCCGGTGCACACCTCGCAGCTGGCACTCGCGCACGAAGCACTGCAGGGGGCCGGTGCTTGGGAGTCGGAGCTGGCCGAGTCCGGGGAGGGGGGGCTGGCGAGGAAGGGCCCGCAGGGGCTGTGGCATGCGGCCGGGTCTTCGCCCTCGAAAGAGGGGCCGGTGATGGAGGAGCTCGCCGGGAGCAGGCCCGCCCGGCAGGAGAGGCAATCCCCGGGCCCCGGGCCGGAGCATGTGTCGCACAGCGGATGGCAGGCCGGGCAGAGGGGGCTCTCGGGGGGGCTGGGAGCATGGCCGGCCGCCGGGCAGGCGTCGCCCTCCGGGGCGCAGGAAAAGTCCCCCAGCAGAAGCCGCCGGCCGACGGTGCACCGGTCGCACTCGGCCCCGGAGGAGCATGTCAAGCAGTCCTCCGGGCAGGGATCGCACGCGACGCCGAAGAGCCCAGGGGCCAGGGGAGCCGCGAACCAGCCATCCAGGCAGCCGGTGCAGGTGGCCTGCGGGGTCCCCGGCTCGAGGCAGGCCAGGCAGCCGGCTGGGCAGGCCACGCACTCGGCCGCCTCGGTGGGGGAGGTTCCCTCGGGGCAGCGGCGCCCGCAGCGGCCGGTGGCCGGGTCCAGCAGGAGCCCATCGACACAGGAAGTGCACGCGGTGGGGCCGAGCCCGGCACATGTGGCACAGCTGACATGGCAACGGGTGCATGGGGGTTGGTGGCCATGCTCATCGGGCTCGTCGGTGTACCAGCCCGGCTGGCAGGCGTCGCAAATGGTGGCCTCCCCCTCGGAGCCGGTATCCAGATGGTGGCAGGCGGCGCAGTGGCCGCCGCCGGAGCAGGGAAGGCACTGCCGACCCGGGGCCAGGGCCGTGCCCGGGGGGCAGGCCGGCACGCAGTGGCCATTGAAGAGGACATTCGGGGCGAAGCAGGCGGCACACTCGAATTCCGACCGGGAGGCCGAGGTGCAGGCGGCGCACGACCGATGGCAGGGGAGGCAGGCGCCGGCGCTGGTGTCGTGGAAGTGCCCCAGCGAGCAGGCAGTGCAGGGGGCTGGCTGGTCGGTGCTTTTCGGGGCCGTGCAGGAGGTGCAGCCCGAGGGGCAGGGGGTGCAGGCGCAGTCGGGGGCCAGGTAGAAGGCCCCTTCGCAGAGGGTGCCCTCGCAGGCGGGCCGGACGGGCGGTGCCAGGAGCAGGAGCCCGGCGAGCAGCAGCACCAAGAGGAGGAGCGCGCGAGGGGGGCGGCAAGGTGGAGATGGCACAGCCATTCTCTCCGTGTTTCCAGGGGGGGGGAAGCCGAGCCGGGGTGCGGGCGCTATCGGGGCAGGGGCGGGGGGCGGGGGGGTCCAGCAGGAGGGGCGGCGTCAGGCACGCGGTGTCAGACACGGAATGGGCTCCAGGTCGCGAGGAGAGCAAGGGGCCAGGAGGGGGGGTGCCATACCGGGCGGCGTGTCGGTGCACGGGGCGGGGGCGTTCGAGAAGGAGGGGAGGGGAGGGGAGAGGCTGGGGC